CACTGGATGCGCGGCGAACTCACTTGCTCCACGCTGGACCTTGGGCCCGAACTCTGGGTTCCATTCTATTTCCGGGCCCATTCGAATGTGGCGGCCTCTACTGGGCCTATTTCACTGATGCCGCAAAATTTCCCCGACGCCAATGTCGTGGATTGCGCGCGACTGGTCTGCCTCATCAGCTGCGCATGCGCAACCTGCTCGGTCATCATGCCTCAGATGTCTGATTAGTCCAGTGAATATGGCGCGACGCAACTTGTCGGGGCACGCCTGCTCTCTCGCGCCCGCCCCCCCTGGGCCCCTCCAAATGTCGGCGCAGACGTTTGCGCGTGAGGATTAAATCTCTTCCAACGAGGCTGATGATGGCCATGAATCGCGCCGGCGCTTTGGCGCTCATTTCTTCGCCGCGAACCGCTCGTCTCGAATCGCGTTCGCGCGCGAGCCTGTCGCGCGCGTTGACTTCGCGATGCTCAAGCACTTTCTGGACGGAGCTGCTGCGCAAATTTGATGCTCCCACGGGCTGTGAGAACAGAACATAGAGCTCATTCCTCCTGTGGGTCGCGCATAACTCGAGACCGAAGTCGAGGTGCTCCAGGCCGCCGTCGAGCATTCCCCCGAGTTTGCCCCCCCACCCCCTTGCCACTGACGGCCTGTTCCCTGCTGAAAACTGATCACATTGGACCAACTGCGAGCAAGACTGCAGATTTGTTCGTCACACGCGCAGCTATGCCAAACGCTGGCCTGGCTCCTATCCCCCGTTTCCTTTTCAGCCGCTGGTATCTGGTGGAGCTGCGTCTGGAGTTGGCGGCGCACCCAATCCGCCGCGTCTTCCTCCTCAAAATCAAATCTAGTCTGCCCTGTCCACTCTTCAACTCGCTCTTGCCCGCCGACGGCCTTCCATTTGCCGCGAAGTCCTTGAACCATACAATTGCGCGACCGGCGCGCGCGACGCCGGATGTCGCAAATCGCCCGCTGATGCTGGCCAGCGGACGCCTGCCCAGCGCGCGCCAGCTCCTTCCGGCACCTTCCGCTGCCCCGTGGCCTCATGCCTGAGGGCCCACGCATCGATGAGCTCGGGAATGCATTCGCGCATGTGGGGCGCGTTGTTCGCCGCTTCTTGGGTATGTGTCTCCTGTCTAAAATAGGCTGACGCCAGCCTCTCCCGGCCGCTCGGATCGCGCCCGATGACTCGCGCGCGGCGTTCGGCGCCGCGTGGATCGCGGCTGGCGCCCCGCCCCGCAGTGTCTCTGCAGCCGCGACGCGCGGGCGCGGGCCCCCCGGCTAAGTTGCCTGCTCCGTTAGCAGCCACATCCCGGGCAACGACTGGTCGTGCACTGGCGATGTCACCGCTCTCGGGGCCTCTCAAAAATGGGTCGGCCCTCGCTCTTTTTACAGCGTGCCCCGCAACGTAGTCGCCTGGTTGCCGCGGTGGCCCCGTCGCGTCTGTCAGCCCTTCGATGTCCCGCTCTCTTGCTCGCTTCCGGTTCATCTGAATTTCAACGACTGAGCTGCCCCACGGCGCGCCACCGGCGCGCCTCTGGATAACTTCACCAATCCTGAAGCACACGCCACTGCCCCGCCTGCTCTCGAACTCCCCCCCCCGCTTCCCTGCTGCAAGTGAATTTGGCGCGCGCGGCGCGCGCCCCCGAATTCGGCGACTGCTCGTTCAACTTCCGCCCCAGCGCCCCCCGCGCGCGCCCCCCCCCCCCCGCCGAAGCGCAGGGCGCGATCCATGGAGCCAGAACGTAGTTCTCACCAAAAATACGTTTGGCACGCCGGGTCTCGCGCGCACTTCTTCGCCATGATCCGCCCCCGCGCAGTTCCGGCAGCTCGCTCAGGTCTGGAATTGGCTCGCGGATCTCCAGAAGGGCTCATTTCAACTTCCGCGCGTTAATCGCACGCGCCCCTAGCGGCGCCCTCGCGCGACGCGGCCGCGGGGGCGCCGTCGCTCTATATGGGGCGACTATTCCACGCGCAACGCGCGCGGCAAAGTCCACCATCGCGCCATGGAGGCCGCGCGTTGTTCCGAGTGCAGTTGGCGCCCCTGCGATGCTGCGCGAGGAATGCGCGCCCACCCGCTCCCCCCTGCGCCCGCCTCACCTCTCGTTCTTTTTATCCGCGCATAGTCGGCGAAGGCGATGGGCGGCCCAGCGCGCGGCCCCAACAAATTCGAAGCGACTTCCCACCGGGCCCCCCGCTGACGCGGCGGGAGGGGGGGGGGTTCCAACTCCGATCGGGAAGACGCGCGGCACTGCGGATTTCTACCCTCTCCTGGCTGGGTCGCCTCGCAACGTGCTCTCTCGGGCCCATCAGCCACCGCTCTCGCAGGCGCATCTTCCACTTCGCAGAACGCCCTGCCCCCGCCCTGGACGCCGCCCTCGCCGTGCACTCCCAACAGGCGCAACAAAAAAAACGATGCGTGGCGCGAGGGCTCTGGAGCGCGTCGCCTCGCTCGCGAACGACCCTTCGCTGACCTGTCGCCGCGCGCCCAACGGTCTCTGCAGGGGCGCCCCATCGCGCCGCGATCATGCGCGATTCGCCCCCTCGCCTCGCCCATCTCCTGGGAAACGCCCCGAAGAATCTCAACGCCAGCCACTTGAACTGGCGCGCGCACTCCCGCTTCCCATGAGTTATCTTTCGCTACAGTACACTGCCCGTGGTCCCCTATAACCGTCTCGTCGGCAGCGCCGCAGTGCTTGCCTGCTCGCGACTCTCCCGCGGCGATCGCTGGAAAGTAATTTCCCGCGCTCGGGGGCCCGACTGTAGTTCGCATGGGTTCCTTTTCCTCCTTTTCTTCCACCTTTGACAACTGCACCGAAACCTTCAACGCCTTCGTTCTCGTACTCTTGTTACCACGTCGGATCACTTGTCCATCAATAGCCGCCCACGTCGATGCACCCTTCGGTATTCCAGCCCCCACGTCTATCCCAGATGTTAACCTTCTCCCCGTTCGTCCCGCCAAGGCCCTTGGTGTCAATGGCGTCTCTGTTCTGACGCGTTGGTATCTAAACTTTCTTCCGCGCCCAATCCTCACGCTTAACATGGATATCCTGGTAGTTGCAGAACGTGAATGAATCCGGATGCGTGAAGCACTCTTGGTGCCAACCTTCGGACCAGTCGCATTCACGTGTCATTCTAGTTCTTGGTGCCGTAACCACGAAGGGCAGATTGAACGAGACAGCCGGACAATATTTCTCAAGGGTCTCTACCAATGCCGCCGACCGCTGCAACTGAATTGCTACTTCGCCAGTCTTCATCGGCTAATCACAATCCATGGCCAAGCTAAGTTTGGCAGGCAGGGTAACTCTGGTAATTCCAGGATGTCCTGTGTAATGTTGATGTACGTTTGCAATCCATCTCCTTCGCGGGGTCCTTTCAAGCATCAAATGTTCCACGCCGTTGGCGTTGCATGTGTACCACAAGTCCGCGCCGAACCAATGTATCTTCAACGCGTTTACGCCACCATCCTCTACGATCGTCCTACTATTACTTGGCACGATTTGCTTATGTGTACCCTACTGCTGCAACCTGCCATTGAGGAACATTGCCGTGTCGTCGTCGTCTTCGTCGTGTACCGCTTCATCAATTGCTTGAAGATTTCTTCCTGGATGTGTAGCGCCATGCGATAGTGGGGGCTGACCTGCGCCACTGTTTCTATCAACTTGTCGCTCCACTCGCCAAACTAGGTCGTGTTTCCTGCGAACGTCTTGAAATGCTCCGTGGCCTTGTATTCACGAACTGGCTTTAGCCCCACCACTGTTCTAGTGTTCTCTTTCAACGGTCGATTCTGCTATCGCGTTGACTTGGACAACCGAATATTTCGTACCTCCGCTTGTCTATTCGAATCTGGATTCCTCGAATGGAACGTATCGGCCTTTCCCGCGGTGCACATGTTGCGGCTGTCGATGCTAAGAGATACGGGGTTCACGTTTTTGCTCGTGTACAATAACCCTTCGGTCTCCGCAGCCAGAACTCCTGCCGCTGCCTGTCCCTCTAAGAACTCTCTCATTCCCTCACGATTGGTTCTCAAAGTAACCTTGTACATAACCATGCCGGTTTCAAACAAGGTGCTTCGCATAAACCATTGAATCTCGCTTGGTTCCAATTGAACCGTCGATCGTGGTTTTGGGGCGTGCTCCGCTCAGGGAGCGGGTATCCTGGATGCGCGGGAGCTGCCAATGCTACTGCTGCCGCCGTCGACACCGCCCCACGACCATGACAAATCCCAAGGAATATTTGCACGAGGACGGATGGATGATACCTGTTGCAAGGCAACGACCGAGCTGTGCATTGCTTAGTCACTTGGGTCAAACGGCGTCGGCGAAATCCGTCTGACGTCTGAACAAACAAATCCTTCCCACCCACTCGCAGAGCCATGTTCTCGCATCGCTTTTTCCTCCTCCTACTCCTCCGAATCCTACATCATCTTCCTCTTCCTCCCTCCCCCTCCTCCTCCTCCACCTCACCATCATCACCACCACAAGCATCATCATCAACATCGCGGTAGAATTCCCGGCGCCCATAGCCAACTGAAAAGGAGACGCAACATGGGATCGAAACGCCGCGCCATCGGCCACCGCAGGAACGCGTGACGTCAGCGATCGGGGACAGATCGAGCAGCCATTTCCAATCCATTCACAGACAAGTGGGGGCCCTGTGCCGATCGGAAAACGTCTGCTGCAGCGCTGCGACGATGACGACGCAGCCGTCCTCCTCATCCTCCTCCTCCTCCTCCTCCTCCTCCTCCTCCTCCTCCTCCTCCCCCTCTCTCTCTCCCTCATACCTCCCTCCCTCCCTTTGTCCCTCCCTCCTGCTCCTCCTTCTCCTCCTCCTCCTCTCCTCCTCCTCCTCCTCCTCCCTCCTCCTCCTCCTCCTCCTCCTCCTCCTCCTCCTCCTCCTCCTCCCTCCCCCCCCTCCCTCGCTCAACGTGATCATCGCCATACTCTTCCGATGCCCGTCTTCCTCCTCGCCCGCCCCGTTCTCGTCAGCGGCCAAGGGCTGGC